ACCCATTCTGAAGGCAATCCGTTGTCACAATACCAATGATCGAAAACCAAACGGGCTAACACGGGCGCACTAATGTCAACATTAGTCGGTATGATTTTGAGATCTGACCTGAGCCGGTCAGTCATTGTCAAGATGCAGTCAAACCCCTGGTCAAGAGGGAGGGGACCAATGAAATCCATTGCAACACTATCACAGCGGCTCTCCGGGACTGGCAATGGATGTAAGGGACCTTTTCCATTCTTTGCAGTACGACCTTTGTTTCTCTGACAGTCCTCACAACCAGGCACATAAAATTTGAAGAGATCTCGGCACATGTGAGGCCAGTAGTACGAATCCGCCAGCATAGCATAAGACTTGTCCGCGCCAAAATGTCCGCAGGTGTCATGAGCAAGGTGGAAGAGATCTTCATGCAAAGTAAGGTAAGCAGGAATTACCAAACGACCCTCGACAAACCACAACCCATCCCTGTGTTCAATTCCCGGAACAAGCGAACCGCCGTCAATGAGTTTCCTAATAAACGGATCCGACACGTAACCTTCCTTGATATGCGAAAGAAATGTAGCATCTGCCGCCAAAGACAGAACAGACGAACACACAAAAGGATTAGACTTCCATGCTTCTACATTACAGGCCGCACCTGTGGATAAGTCTGTAGGCGTGAAATCAGAAGGTAAAGCACCAGCCTTAATGCGACTCAAGGCATCCGCGGCGCAATTGATTTCCCCAGGTATGTACGCGATTTGTAAGTCGAACTGACTCATTTCTTCCTGCCAACGGAGCTGCCTGCGACTAAGATCTTTCTGAGTTTCGAAATTTTCTAGAGTTCGATGATCAGTGAGCACATGAATGTGCATCCCCAACAGATCCGCACGCCATTTTCTCAAGGAGCGTATAATTGCAAGTAGCTCTTTCTCATGTACAGGGTAATTCAATTCTGGACCAGAGAACTGAGCCGAATCAAAGGCAACAGGGCGCGCGGTGTCAAGGGTAGGGCCCCACATGAGAACAGCACCATGTCGCCAATCGCTTGCATCTGTGACCAAGAAAATGTGGTTGTCTTCCGGATTATCATGATCTATAGTAGTAAGGCATTGTCGACTAAGAACCAGGGTCTTAATGTTAATGAAAGCATGCTCATGTTCTAAGGTCCACCCAGGGAAACATTTATCGCACTCCTTTTTCGTCAATGGAGTAAGTATGCGTGTGTATTCAGCCAAATTTTCCAAATAACCTGCGACAAAGCGAACCATACCGAGGAAGCGACGAACCTCAGAGGCTGACGAAGGGCTAGGATAGTTAACAATCGCCTCACATTTGTGGTGTTGGGCTTCGACCCCGCGTCGCGAGATATGATGACCCAGAAAATCAATTTCGAGCTGGAAAAACTGGCACTTCTTCGCATTACAAAACAATTTAGCCTTACGAAGGGCGTCCAAAATCAATTCAACATGGCGAGCATGCTCCGCCTCATCTTTTGACCAAATAATGATATCATCCAAGTATACATGACAGAAACGACCAATAAATGGACGTAGAGCTTGAGTCACTCTACATTGTTGAATAGCTGGTGCATTACGAAGGCCTTGGGGCATAACAAGCCACTCATATTGGCCTAACGGTGTCTGAACGGATACGAGGGGAACGGAACTGGGATCCATACGACTCTGGAAAAAGGAATCTGTCATGTCCATTTTCCCCCATATATTACCTTTAGCGCAATCCGATAAAATGCTGTCAATATGAGGTAATGGGTGTCGGTCTGGTATTGTATTAGCATTCAGCTTCCGGAAATCATTGACCCAACGAGGTAACGCAGTGGGATCGGATTTGGGGACAAGAAAGGCAGGCGAGGAATATTGCGAAGAGGAAGGACGAATCCGACCCGCTTGCAAATGTTTTTCAATCAGGACAGACCAAGCTTCACGATACTTGCGAGGAGACGCATATCCACGGGACTGCATGGTTATATTAGCATCTTTCAGTGAGATGTTACATGTAATATCCGTAGGAAGTTCCTCCATGTGTGGGATGTCTCCAAACACATCTGCAAATTTGGCCTTAATATCATTACCCAACTTAGCCAAACGTTCCAATTCCGAAAGTTCCTCAACCCTTGCACGCACCGCCGCAGCAACATCAATAGGACGTACTAGATCGGACAAAAGCAAATGTGGGTGATCACGCACATATCCTCGAAGCTCAAGAAGAACGGTTTTCTTTAATTCCAAAGTTTCTTCATAAGTAGCTACAATTTGGCGACGGCGCTGAACAGGAGAAGTACAAGGAGGACGAGGACAAGGTGCAGAGGGATTCATGAGATCAAACCCAGAAGTCTTGTCCATAACAGTTCGAGAAGAATAGTCGGTAACTAGGAAATTATGCGCGAGAAAAGGAATACCAAGTACCATAGGAAAACACAAGGAAGGCACGATCAATGCACGAACGGAACGAGAGGACCAAGCCCCAGAAGGATCCTCCAATCCCAACTTTCTACACAGTGTATATGGATTATATCATTCAACACCCCTCTTCATTCTCTTTTACTTCAACTCTGCATTAGCCACAACCAAACCTTTCTACTTCGAATTCAGTCCATTAAGATTCAAAGTCATGGATTGTTTTGGGCTGTTGGGCAAATAATTGATCCTACTCTCAGGTTGGAAGGATAAAATAAGAGCTTAGAACGAAATTTTGAACAATCACAGAAGACACTGGCAGAGTCTCAAGAGCTCGAGAAGAGAATATTTTTTGAATTACCCCAATCATTGCGAGCGAAGCGAAGCAATACTGTGTGTTCCAATACTGTAATCTAAGTAGAGATTGTACAGTATGGTAAACTGGTCGTTCGGGAATCGGACCTCGCCAGTATAATTTAACTATCCTATCCTGGCCATAGGGTGAAAATTTTCATCAAATCTATATTCGCAAATCCCACGAGATCACAGCCACCGCTGTTTTTGGTAATCCCCTGTACTATTGGCCCCCTAGAAGTGGGTCACATATCTATCTATCTATCTGGGATGTGGGTCATTTGGTAGTTCTAGGCTGTAATCCATATCTTGGCCAGTAACTTTGATGTATGTCATGTGAAGTAGCATCGAACAATGCGCTCAGCACAAATCCAATGTAAACAAGGAGTGGAATGAGAAACAGTGGATAAATTGTTCGGAGAGGTCAGCCGAATTACATAATTTTCCTATTTCTCTCCCCCCTCCTAGCTGAGATCGACACTTCATTCAGCCGCTATCCTGTTCCAAAATTCAAAATTCATCATATCGCTTCAGAAACACCTAACAAGCATATTGCCTTTCCTTATGATATCTCTTTGTCCTTTCATGGTCACCTAGAATGGCTCGGCAAAACATTCATCATTTTTCGGGCACCTCAAAAAAGCAGCCGCCATATCTCCCAAACGAGGCTCTTGAATCTTCTCAAATTTCGAGCAAACGATGGATACAATACTCAGACCTCCTATGTCTAACCAGGAAATTTTGAAAAATTTTTGCTACCTTGGGACCGTGGCCGCCGCACTGAAAATCCCTCAATGGGCTATCCAACTGTATTATTCTCTGTGCTTCGAAGTTTGGGTTTCTTGGTCATCTTAGCGCTTCAAGTGTGTTGCAATATCTCTCAAACTTATCTTTCATACTGATTTTATGCTTCCCTTCCATAGAATGACTTCGAGTGGGTTGCCGACCATATTCAGCATAGACTTGATGGGTTAACTTTTGACACAAGCACTTGGGGGGTTATATTTTTCTTCGACTCCTTGTCTACACAAACACATAATATATAGTCCTAGCATTAAATGCACCTATATTGAGCATGAATTGGGGTTAATTGAATATTGGATGACCTTTGGAGTCTGTTCCCAATGGGTGACCCACTTCCTGATGATTTCCTGATTCATCTGCAAAACCTGGATATTCGGCTAAGCACTGAGAGCAGATCCCAGCAGATCCCAGTGCTTAGCCGAATATCCAGGTTTTGCAGATGTTTGGACCCTGCTTCCGTAATTAATTCACTGCATGACAGTTTCTGCTCCTACTGACACAAGTATATGGCTCAATTTGTTTCTACGATATCTGCTCAATATATTTTTCATATCTCAAGTCAAGGTATGCAAGCCTTTCTAATGACATTCATGTTTATTGCTATCATGACCCACTTCTCAGTGAGCAATAGTATCAGGTGAACCCCCCAGATTGCTTTCACAATTGGATTATCTTGCCAATTTCCTGGAGAGATGTCGGGCTGGAATGATCGACTCTGACCGTGGGTATGACAGGCCAATTGCACCGAATCTCAAGGTCTTCTCTGTCAATGTTGGGTCTATGCAGGAGTGCATATCAGATTGGTATTATTCAATACCATCAAGAAGACTCAGGAGAGAAGATCAAACAGTGTTTCTCCGAGTCACTGGGATGGCTTGATAGAGGCAAATTTTATCGAGTAGAAGACTCCGGAGGCCATCGATTTACAAATCTCGAGACTGGAAGAAATCAGATTTTTCGCCCGAGCCCGGACTGGAATGGCCATGACGACCATATTTTGGACATTCTGGACTGTGGAGTATATCACGAACAGGTTGGCAATGTTTAGGTGTTCGATTCACTCTTCAAATCAAGAGTAACTACACCGAATATCTATGGCTTGATTCTGACTCAGGACTATAATAACCACCTCCATTCGTACTTACTTTACTCAACGTATTCTATGCTCCTATCTCAATTCCAGCGATCGTTGTCCAGAGGACCTTGTCGACATTGAGACCTCAGGCTAGGACAAGCTGTTTGCCCCAGTAAGGGAAGTCGTATAAGGCTATGATATAATGCCCTTAGTCCTTCTCTGTTTGTGTTCTTATTCTTCTGAGATTATTTCGCTGGTTCCGCGGTATTATATTCACTCGTTGGCATTGAGGCTATCGGACACAAATAGTCCTTGATAACAAGAACACGCGCAAGACGCATGATGAGGGTCAGATGTACTCATTGCAGGTCTCATAACACCAATTTGCAACATGCAACACGCACCTTCAACGAGGACTGGTCGACCACAGTATTCCCCCTTGATAAGAGACACGCTCCTTCTCTTACCTTTTTACCTCTCTGCCAGTTTCCCTCCTGAACGAGACTCATTCCTTCCTCCTGCATAATACTAGTAGCCTGGGTGCGAATCGCTTACTTGAGCCAAAGATCATCCTCAATTATTCCGTTTATCCTTTTCGTACTATTCCTCTCTTCGCCGATAATGGCAGCTATCGTTCGGAACGTCGTAAACTGGAGCGCACAACATGGCAGTCGTGACAGAGGAACAACGGGACAACTCTCTCCTTCTCATCAAGTACAACAACGTTCGGATATGTGCGAGGTATGTGATCAAACGCGTTACATTTCTTGCTATTCTGACATACTTGCCTTGTACCATCTTCCTTGTGTTTCAATCATTTGTTTTATTATATCAAGGTCTGTGGAAAGAAGCCGAAATTCGTGGAGCGAGGACAGAAGCATCCTTATTGTAGTCGCACCTGTGCTGGTAAAGCCCAACCTTCATCGCCACCATCATCTGGAGGAGGATCTAGAAAAGCTCAGAATTCACCCATGTCGATGCCTCTGACAGTAAACACCACCACCTCACCCACCGCAGCAAGCAAGACTTGCCTGTTAGCAGGATGCCACTACGATGCAGTATTCCAGGGATTCTGTGATCCTGAGCATGCGATGGAGGCGGTAAAAATGGGTCATGTCGAGGGATGTGATATGTGTCGTGACCAGCCAGTTTCAGTCAATGCCAGACCAAGTCGGGGTTCATCAGCCAGAAAGCTTTGTGTAGGATGTGATAGGGCGTTGAGGGGCGGAGCGCAGTTGAAAGAATTGGGGAGTAAAGATAGTAAATTCCAGGAAGGTAAGTGCTCCGCATTCGTGTATGGGCGTGATCCTGGTAGGAGAAATGGTCGCTGATACGAACGTGAAAATTATCTAGTTCGTAAACATTTCATCGCGGAGTGGAACGCACGAAACGAAGGACTACCGACTGTGGATAAGGTGTTCCAAGTGATAGTTCCACGAGAGCAGCTTAGCCGCTATTCTGCGTATCGGTAAATTCTTCCAATTATCGACTAGAAAAAAATAGCTTACTTGAGTTCCATGTCCTCCTGCTAGTAAAAACTTGACGAACCCTCGCGAGATTCGTACATACCATGCGTCCCTCATGCTTTGCGATCTAGGGTCCAAGGGTCCGTTCCTCTGTGAGCGCAAAGGTTGTGGTATCTGTAGCGTCGTGCGGTCTTCGTTCAAGACATTTGCATTCGAAGAGGATTATGAGCAAGGAAGGTGAGATTTCATTCGTTCATTGATTTGAAGTTTTCGCCTCGGAAATGGTAGTTCTTTATTCATGGATCACAATGAGGACAGGTTTGGGCCTGGTATATACACCTTCGTGAATCCGAAGCTTGCAGATACAGAAGCCACGACGAGCTCAACATCACCTTACCGCGTCATGGTGGCATGCGATGTCCTGGTAGACGCAGGACAAGAGGTAAGCCATATTCATTATTTGAGCAAGACAGTGAATAACTCACTTGCAATTTTTTTTCCATCTATCTTCAAAGATTCCAGCCGAAGACTCTGTTTTCGTTGCTAGCTCGGAGGCTATCAATGCGGCCTACGTTGTTATGTATAGCATGTAACTGCATGTAGATTGTTGATCCTCTGCATGGATGTATATCCAAGTCATATTTCATGTTTCTTATCTTGCGCTTTCTACCTGTTGCGGTAAGAGACATGGAGCATTGGAGGCAAGGAACGGACCGACATTTGGGCGCTTATTCCTTTCCTTGAGTCCTTTTAGTAGCGGTCACAATATAACATGCTATGAAAATTGGACGAGCAAGACAACTCAAGTACTCAAGGAACAATGACTACCACCTCCCCCGCTCCAGCAACTCTCGCCTTCTCAAAAGCCTCTTCCCATTCCTCCAACTCAAACTTCCCTCCTACACTCAGCCCATTCTTCTCTCCCAAAGGCAATAAACCCGATTCAAGTAATTTTACAAAAGCGAACATTTGCTCCCTCGAAAACATCCAAGTACCCTTCATCGTCAAGTTCCTATGCATGAAAGACAGGTAAGGGAAAGACATATCTGCATATACTCCTCCCATAAGGCTTATCCTTCCGCTATGTCTTAGAGCAGCTATCGCGCTCTTAAAATGCGTGGAATTCGCCGCCATAAAAGGAGAGATATCGAAAAACACGTCGATGGGTCCGAGTTTCTTCAGCGCGTCGGTTTCGGTTTTTTCATTTCCTGTGATGCGTACGGTGAAGATACGGGTGTCAAGCGTAGACAATTTATGGAGCATTGTTTCGTTGCGACCCATAGCAATTACTCTACCTGCTCCCATAGCTAACGCTACTCGTACGGCAGCACTTCCAAATGGACCGGTGGCGGGGGCTATGATCACTGTCTCTCCCGGTTTTAATCCTATATCGTTCAAACCTCCGTACGGTACCACTAGCTTGGAGATATGCATGAGATCTTCGACGCAATAACCAAGTCCACCGGCTTCTACAGGACCAAGCAAGCGCTGCTCGTCAAGTGGGATGCAATTCTCTAGCGGAAACTTGGTGTATTCCGCATAGGTCGAGTCACGCCACTCTCCATGCATGAGCTTCTTGCTAGCTTCAGTGAAGCCTTCGCTGATACCCGAGAGGATAACCGCTTCTGAATTATCCCGACCTCGAATCGTACAATCTAGAAAAACTAGTTGACCTGGAACGAGAGTTGTTGCATCTGGACCGACCGCGACTATACGACCTATCGCGCTACTTCCGGGTACCAATGGTTTTGGAAAGGGGTATTGGCGTTTTCCGTTGTAGATATCTGCGGAGTATGATAAAATACCAGCTGCGAGGACTTTGACTACGGCGCTCCCTGGACCTGCTTGTGGTGTTGGTACAGTTTTGAGCTGAAGAGGTTCAGATGTCGAGGTGAGTTGTAGAATACGATGCGTCTCTGGTAGCGTTGTTTGAGCCATTGCTTTAGAGAGTAATATTTCGCAGTTTTATGAGGTTGGCTGCCGAGATACTGACGCAATGCGAATAAGAATGGGAGGTGTGCACCGACCTTTTCGACTCCGATATAGATCCGCTTTCGAGTTCTTCGAAAGAAAAGTGTGTAATCAAAGTGTGTAAGTCATATCCAAACCCGTGTCCAAGATATACAAAAAGCGATACCAATGAGACCAAACATATTTCAAGCTTTACAATGATGTAGAAAAGTGACAATAGTGAGGCATAGCAATATATCAGCTCAAAAGATCGAATTTACCACATCGGCACCAATCGCCGACCCAGCACCAAACCCAAGACCTCCAACGGCAGCTGTGGCCAACTATTCATGATGAAGTATTCAGATTATGAACCACCGCAAAAGCTAGCAACACACTCACTGTATTTCCCATCCCGCCAAACCTATTTTTTTTCGGCTGGTCCACCGGAGCTGGAGGCGCTGAAGCCGAGACGATAACTGGACCAGGAGGCGGAGGCGCATACGAATATGAATTGTATCCTTGAGGTGGAGGTTGTGAAGGCGACGATTGATAGTATCCTGATGGGGGAGGAGGACCGTACCCACCTGGAGCTGGAGGAGGAGGGGGGCCTCCTGGTGGTGGATAGGCCGGATAGGTCGGGTTAGGTGCAGCAGGTGACCCAAGGGGCCTGAAATCTGAGTAATGACCATCGTTATAGTTCGGGTTCGAGGTGTATGAAGAATTGCTGCGAGCTGCTGGCGGAGGCGGAGGACGTGACAAAGGCGATGAAGGAGGAAGTTTCTCAACGTAGTTAGAGGGAAACAGGCCCTCACGGCCACGATACCTCCCTGTCCACCAATCGTTATTTGTTTCCTGGACAATTTCGATGATGTCTCCAGATTGGAATGATAGATCTTGAGGATCCTATATAATCATCATATCTTTGGAATATGCCATGACGCAGGATAATAACATAACTCACCTCTCCAGTCTCATTATATCCCCACAACGCTTTCGCTTTTACCGTTCCAAGAGGAGTGGGTGAGTTGTAATCCCGAGAACCATAAGAAGTTGGAGGCGGAGTACTTGGTCCAGAAATCCGTATATTAGAAGCTTGCTGTGAAAGCGCCATTATAGGGTCAGGAATACTAGTACCAGCATTTGGCAGTCTATCGAGGATTTCTCGACCAGCGACGGGCGATATTTGGTGCTGAGAAATCAGAAAGGAGATATTACTCCTTGTTTGAGCGATGAGGAATTGGACAAGCGCTTCAGAATCGATTGGCGACATAAAGGTAGTGTAGTCCTTGGTGTTGTAAGTAAGACAATGATAGTAAAGTATTTGTAGAAGATGACAGAGCTGTTAATGAGTGCTTAACGTTTACGTAACATTTACCCGCTTTCGACTGAATCCTCGGATTTCATTAACATTGCTCAGTTGTTGCTTACTAGGCTCCACTGTTGTGGACTGCACCTTGCTTGGGAAAGGATAAATTTCAGTTAAATTGATACTACAGTCATGTATCACCATTTGGGATGATGAAATCTCTTTGACCGTAAACAGACCTATTACATTCTTAATTATGCATTTACTGTGGGTTAGGCAGATGTTAGGCTACTGGAGGAAGGTTTCTACCAATTTGTTCTGGTATTCAGGGAAGGTGCATTAATGCCAGGCTCTAATCAGTATGGAAAGTTGTTATCAGTCAAAAATTGTTGGACTGGTACTCCATATGCTCAGCTTTGTCTTCTTTGTCCTGTGCGATTTTCCTTTCCGGCCTCCGATATTGACTTACTTACTCCTATTTTCTCGATCACCATTTATACTCAATACATAATTATAAACTCCCTCAGTTGTTTCTCTTATCAACTGAGGTGAGATTACTTATTTTTTCTTCTTTATTCTTCTTACTAAAGTACTATAGATTATACTCAACAGGTACTTAGATATACTAGTAGTTGTTTCTCTTATCAACTGAGATTATACTCAACAGATTATGAGACTGGAGCTCAACCGAGCTTAACAGAAAAACCTGATATATTTTATACAGTCAATTCTAATCTCTTCGAAGCTATGTCCTCCACAGTTAACTCACTGTCGATCCCGCGCTTCCCCAAATCATCCCAATTATCCGGCGAGAATACCTGGCGAATCTTTAAAGACCAAGTCCTCGCGCATATTGAAGTTCGGGAACTCGAAGGATATCTTGATGGTACCATTATCCGACTGTAAGACCTGAGTCAAAATAGGTCTTAGGGTAGGTTTGGTATATGGAGGTTTATGTTGTAGCGTGCTAGGAGCAGGCTGGAGCTCGAAGGGAGCTACGAGAACCACGACCGAGGATGGGAATGACCTAGTAGTGTCTGGAACGACGAGGTGATGACCCTTGAGGGGGTTCCTAGGAGGTCCAGGGAGGTCCCTAAGGCGTAGGGAGGTTAAGGAAGAGTGCGGGACCGTACGATATTGCGTAGTAGGAGTTGTACTCGCTAGAACGTCAATATAGGATCGAGTAGGTCGTATATGCAACTGGGTCTCGAGAAGGGATATGCCAGGAAGGGTAGGTCCCTGGGAGCTGGGCTTGAGGATGGACGTCCTCGAGTGTGGGAGGTGGTAACGGAGAAGCAGTACGTAGTTCGACGTTACCTAGATCGAGGTCCCGAAGCTTACGAAGTAGCTAGGGAGCTCTGGAAGGTTTGGGGAAGGGTAGCTCACCAAAGCGGGTAGGCGTTGGGGAGCTTTAGTAATGTTTGAGGGAGCTCGGAGACTCACTCGGAAGGCTTAGACTTGAAGTGAAAGCGTATATTCGATCGTATAGACAATCAGAGAGACAATAGACAGGAGTAGAGAGAAACAGAGGTAGAGAAACAGAGAGTAAAGAGAATTCCGTATAGGTAGCAGGTACAAAGGGACAGGGACTGGACCTATGTAAAGGGTGTGTGTTCAAAATATACCAAGCTGGGGCTTGGGGACATTGCGGTACTACTTAAATAGGTACGGGAAGTGAACATGGGAGCATTTGGGGAATCTGGTATGTGTGAGGTAACTGATCGAGATTAGGGCTAAATGGGGTTTGTTGCGGTGGAAGGTCTAAGGAATGATGTATCATGGGAACTCGGGGTGTATTGTCGAGGCTGGGTTGAGGCGGGGAGGCTTATGGAGGACCCAGGAGGTCCTGGGATGAGTGAAGCAGTTCCATGGGGAGTTAAGGTAAAGGGAGGGAGGTCCCTCAGAGTCGGTCGGGGCTATGGGAGGTAGGTCAGGGCATGACACCGACTGTCATAAAGTACGCAGCCCCTATCATTTTCCTTTTCTCACCGTCTCGACGCCTTTACTTGTACGATACATCATCCCATCACTGTCAAACCCCCATCGATTACTGATCCATCGATTACTGATCCACCTGACCCATCTTCTCCTTCTATTGGCTTCCGCCACCTTCCTTGTTCCTAAACTGTACAGTATTACATCGTTGTTTCTCGCAGACCGGATTATGTATATATAGCCAACCCTCCACAGCCTGGTCCCTTATCTTGACCTCTCTGTCATTATCTGGGACCAGGTATGTGCTTACTTATTATTACCTAGGACTACGATACTCAATATATCTCTGTCATTATCTGGGACCAGCCTGCTGCCGTTCTGCTTAGTCGCTCCGCCTTGTTGCCTTGTCCAGTTGCTCCACCTCACCGTTCTGCTTAGTCGCTCCGCTTTCCCGCTCCGTTAGTCACTCCGCCTCTGCCGCTTCGTGACATTAGGTCAAGATCCATTACTGCACTGACAGCCTACCGATAAGGTTGTCCTTGCAGGGTCTATAGACACCACGTCTTCCCCAGTTCCGCCCGACTCTGAAACACCTGTTGCCAGTATAGACTGCTCCGCACTCCCGCACGCACTTGACCCCAGAGACCAAGCTCACGCCCATAACAACGACGATACTTGGCGCGATTGCCAGTCTCAACCTTGCCCCAACGCCCTTTCGAACTCAATCCGAGAGCCACTCACTGTGAGCAATATAACCTTCCTGCCGATTCCCCAGCCCCGATTGCCTACTCCCATCATGTCGACTCCTATCCCGCCTGCCCCAAACACCTCTGCGGAGGATCTCATGGCTCAGCTCATCAGACAAGTAGCCAACCTTGCTACAGCTATGGAGGAACGCTCATCCTCTAAGTCAAGCATGAACAAACCCGAGGTTTTCAAGGGTAAAGATGGCGCTGAAGCCCGTCGCTTCATGGCTCAGTTCCAGAATTGGGCGTCAGAACAACCGGATCTTGCCAAAAGCCAAGTAAAACTCATCAAGTCCGCCTTGGGCTTCTTCACAGAAAGTGCCGGAGATTGGGCAACTCCCCATCTGCTACATTTCAATGCGGAAAATCCCCCTTTCGGAGGAAATTGGGAGGCGTTTCTGAAGGAATTTAGCCAACGGTTTGAACCAATGGACCCAGGTATGGAAGCCCGTAGCGAGATCAAGAATCTCAGGCAAAGTAAAGGACAGACAGTTGCGGAATTCGCTCAGAAGTTCAAGGATATCGGAGATCGGACTGAAATGTCTGATATTGACTTGCGGGAACGTTTCTTCACTGCATTACTCCCAGAGATCCGACAACACCTCATCACCGTAAACATTGCCCAAGGAATTGCTCCGACTCTGAAGGAGGCAATCAAACGGGCCATATCGGTGGATGTCTACCTGCACGATCCCACCATGACTGGCCGGAACTCTGGATACCCTCCCACGCATACCGCTCATACTACCCCTGCTGACCCCCACGCTATGGACATTGATGCAACCCACACCAGTAATGGGAATACTAGGGAAGCATTCCTAGCTCGCATGCGAGGACGATGCTTCGGCTGCGGTGCCCAAGGTCATGTCAAGCAAAACTGCCCACACCGAGAAACTACCTGCCGCTACTGTGGACGTCGAGGACATCTGGAAGCAGTCTGCCAAGACAAATTCATGGGACTCGGACGAGACCGAGGCCGACGCCAGCAACCTCGACGCCAACAGATATCCGCTACGGGACCCGCGCCATTCTCCCTATTCCCAAACGAATCCGTCCAAATCGCGTCCTCGACCCCAACATCTGCTCCTGCACCCGTAGCTGCTACTCCGAGCCCCCCTAACCAGGACTTTTCCAATCAGATTGGTCAAATAAGGGAATTACTTGATCGTGCTAACGCTATGTCCTCCTCGTCCTCTGGCTTTCAACAGGGTTTTTAAAGAGGGTACCCGCTTCGGCTGCACCGAGAGTACCCCGTAATCAGTTTGTTATGTTCGCTACTTCCTCGTATGACTCGCACCCATCATGTACAATATCGTCGATCCGGGAATTAAACTCTACTTCCCCACATTTCCGAATTCATGCGAGACTAAGAGGAAGGAATCACAGTATAACAACTGCAGCCATGGTAGACTGTGGAGCTACCGCCCTGTTTTTAAACCAAGACTTTGTCACCCGGAACCATGTAAGATGTGCACCCCTCCATAAACCAATCGACGTTTTTAATATCGATGGAACACCTAACCGAGCTGGACGGATAACCCATTTTGCACGTCTAGCACTCACAGTGGATAATCAAGAGCGATGGATGGACTTTCTGATCACCAACCTAGGAGGTGAAGACATCATCCTTGGACTCCCCTGGCTATGGAAGGTAAATCCGGAGATTGATTGGGAGAAAGGACGACTTTCAGTAAAGCCTCCTCGAGTAACGATAGAAGAAGTCCCAGACGAGGAGATCTTGTACTCTCATCTAGCCGCCACTCACACAGAAACCCCGATCCTCGAACTCCCGGAACTGGAACCTCCCGCAGAAAACCCCCACATTGAGGTGCCACTAGAAGCGACCCTTGAACCGAGTGAATCAGCAGCGGTGGAAGAACCACCAATACACCGAATTCGAGCCAATCATAAAACTCGCCGGGCATGGGTAAAAGCAGGAATTCTAGAGGAACAGACGGAGGAAGTCTGGTGCGCCGCAGGATTCACTTACTCCCAGCAGCTAGCAGAGGAAGCCAACCGAGACAAACCCGTTAAAACCTTCGAAGAAATGGTCCCTGAGCAGTATCGTGATTTCAAGAAGGTTTTCTCAGAATCCGCCTCCGAACGATTACCTGCCCACCAACCTTGGGACCATGCGATTGATCTCGTACCTGGAGCACCGGCAACCATGCGTACCAAGATTTATCCCATGTCCCTAAACGAGCAGGAGGAGTTGGATCGTTTCCTAGAAGAAAACCTACGGAAAGGCTATATCGTCCCTCAAAATCACCAATCTCATCACCG